CTCTCTGCAGGGACAGGATCGAGAAGTGAGCGAGCGACGGTATGTGTTCTCTCACTTCCCGATCTATTGAGCCGACCTGTGACAGTTTCATTGTCACACGTCGGCTAGAACTATGAGGTGAGTGATTTTCACTAGCCTCATAGTTCTCCTTTTAAAGTCAAAAAGTTTTTGTGCTATTTCAAATGTTCATTAAATCACTTACAACGGATGCTGCTCCTTGATGTTTAAAAGTGTTAGCTTCCTGCAGAATCAGCTGGTCTCCTGAGCAGTGGCCCTGGTATCCTGTTTTAGGGAGTCTCCTTTCCCTTGCAGGGTCCTATGAGGCCACCCTTGTGTGTGCTAGTAAGCTGTGTGTATCTCCACAGACACACAGGCACAGCAAGACACTCCTCTCCACCCTGCTCCCAGCTCTTCTTTTCTCCCTCCTTCCTTCTCCAAGCTAGTAGATAGATGGTTGCTGGAGACTGCTCTGTCCCCTGTGATCTTACACTCGACATAAAGTTCAGGGAAGTGGAGCTGAGAGAGTTGGAGCTGTTTGGAAACATGATGATGGTGAGTGCTTGGACAAAAATGCAATGACATCCTTTGCTGGGCAATGTATATTTGATCTAAATTCATTATTGAAAAAAGGATTGAGAGTTTAATACTATTTGAAATGGTCATGTGATTGATTCAAGGGTCGCCTACAACAATGGGGGCATGTAGCAGTGAGCTCCTCAGCGATATTAAACGTTTGTCTATGCCAGAAATCCTAGTAAATTTACACAGAAATGTGTTGGAAATATCTGTGACTTTTCCTGCATCATCCAATCTCTCTATAAAAAAGGTTCTGGCTGAGATAATGTGCATTTGCAGTGCGTAGATGGGATATACTGCATTATGGCCACTAGATGGAGCTGGGGAGCACAGGAAATAAGCATTTATATGCTCCTCAGCTACCTCTAGTGACCATATTGTGGTATTATCCATTAATTAGATATGACTTGAACAGCAAATATACTAAGAACATTTGTTTTTGCCTCGATGTGCACAGAACAAACGTTCGTAGAGATTTGCAGGGCGAACGGCTCAGCCAATTGTTTATAAATAGACCCCCTAGTGTGCTCATACACAGCTTGATTTGAACACATACTGAAGTGAGTGGAATTTCAGAATGTTCATTTTTGCCTCTATTCGCACAGAGCAAATGTTCACAGAGATTCACATAGAAATGATACCAGTTTTTCGGTATTGAGTACGAGTTCCAATATCTATATTTCGATACTCGCCGATACAGGTACTTCCGCTAGCAGCCAGCTCCATGTTCCCTTGTAGCACTCCCGGTCAGAGGAAGTCTCCCTCTGACCGAAAGTTCAGGGATCGAGAAAGGTATTGGAGCATTTGGGTGCATCCCTAGAATATAGTTTTTATGACACCTGCAGTGAGGAAATCCCATATGAAGCACAGCTGACGTATCTGAGCTTGATGTAAAAGTGAAATGGTATTGGACTATAGAAGTACACTTACATCGATGTCTCCAGCCCCTGGATAAGCCACCTGTAAGTAGTGAAACCGCGCTGCTCGTATCGCATTAAACCAATCCACAATCTCCTGTTTAGGGGCAAATAAGAACAATTATTTATCTGCTTACTAGAAGAACATTTTTATTTAATTCTGAATTTACAATGAATATACTACATACCCTATACACTAATGAAAGCCAAAGTAACATTAATCCTCCATTAAACATGTAAAATAACCTTAGAAATGTCTACCATTTATGAAGAAACCTGCACTCCATGCTCCCTCCAGCAGGGGGTCACCCTCTCTGCTGAAAGGAAGAAAGGAAGAGCCACTCATTTCTCTGCTCTACTTAAATGTCAGCCCCCCAAAGCCCTTTCAGTAGAGGTTGCATGACTAATGCTAAGAATAGCAAGCAATGAGAATTCCTTACAGCTTTATACACTACACTATGGTTAATATAGATTTTGTTTGTCTACAAAATATACGTCTTCTTTAATAAAACATGCACAACAACAAATTCAAAAAGGGTTCAAACAGGTCAATAAAAAAGAGTTGCTGTACCCAAGAAGATGAAAAATAACACAAACAACAGTAGATTACACGGGAGACTTGCAATTGTCCATAAACACCACAAGATGGCACTAGTGAGCCAGCACTAGCACTCTAGATCCTTATTTAGGGAGCTGTTATAGTAACAAGCCAACTCCCAGTGGCTACACCCTAGACAGGTGCCTGCTGGATGCTTTCTTTGATTTGTGATGCCGATTAGAACTGATATGAAAGGGGGGAAAAAGCATCCAGAGTCATTACTAATTTCTTCTGATTTCCCCTTCCTCTGACAGCTGCACAAACATGTCTGACATGGCAGCAGGAAATTAAAAGCCAGATTGTTGCAGAATATTAAATTGCAGCATTCTTCTATTGGTCTTATAAATAAAAGATGTACCTCAACTCAGGCCTGGCTTGCATCGCTGCACATGTTTATAAACGGCCTTCGCCCCAAAACATATTGACCGCTATACTTTGAAAGTTTTTACACATCAAGCACAGGAATTGATGAACGGTTATATAAAATAAAATGTTTTGGGTAAAAAAAACTGGGGTGCAGCTAAAAGGGGATCTCTGTGAAAAAGAAATGGTGCTTAATGAGCGTTTAATATAACCAGGCCAATCTACATACAATATACAGCAAATATATATTATGGAAACATAACCTTTTATACTTCCTCTTTAAGTCTTTAGGGACCTTTTCTAGAATCATGAAGAGTTCAAATTTCCTTTGGATAGGGAGGGACAGCAGGTATGTTGCATGTGCTAATAAGGAGCAGTCTGCTGCTGTTACCTCTCTGAATAGTCAGCAGGATGGGGGTGGGGAAGATTAAAGGAAGATTATTTTTTAGTAGTAACTGGACTTGGGACTTTTCTAGACTGTCATAAAGTAGCCCTGTGTGCGGTTTCTCACCAGGGCTAGTATCGGTGCACCCCTACTTGAGATCTTTAACCCTTATTTACAACAGATATACTGCACATCTCTGATAATAAGATCTGCCAGCACAGTGCAGACAGAGTTATTTTGGTAAACATGACACTCCAGCCCTCTCCTATAGAAAGGGAGACTTAAGTAAGGTTTTTCTTTTTGTTATGCTGTATGAATGTGAACAGGTAACACATATGTGTTATCCCAATTTGGCTTCAAAAGTGGAAATACACTAAGTAATAAATGCTGCATCAAGCAGTCAAGCTACAATAACTGTATAATAAGTGCCAGATGATCAAGCAGTCAAACCACAATACCTGTGAAATAAGTGCGGGACCAAGCCACAATACCTTTATATTAAGTGCCGGTTCAAACCACAATGCCTGTATAATAAGTGCTGAATCATATAGTCAAGCTGCAATACCTGTGTAATAAGTGACAGATCAAGCAGTCAAGCTGCAATGCCTGTATAATAAGTGCTGGATCACACGCAGTCAAGCTGCAATGCCTATATAATAAGTGCTGGATCAAGCAGTCCAGCTGCAATGCCTGTATAATAAGTGCTGGATCAAGCAGTCAAGCTGCAATGCCTATATAATAAGTGCTGGATCACACGCAGTCAAGCTGCAATGCCTAAATAATAATAAGTGCTTGGCCAAGCAGTCAAGCTGCAATGCCTATATAATAAGTGCTGGATCAAGCAGTCAAGCTGCAATGCCTATATAATAAGTGCTGGATCAAGCAGTCAAGCTGCAATGCCAATATAATAAGTGCTGGATCACACGCAGTCAAGCTGCAATACCTATATAATAAGTGCTGGATCAAGCAGTCAAGCTGCAATGCCTATATAATAAGTGCTGGATCAAGCAGTCAAGCTGCAATGCCTATATAATAAGTGCTGGATCACACGCAGTCAAGCTGCAATGCCTAAATAATAATAAGTGCTTGGCCAAGCAGTCAAGCTGCAATGCCTATATAATAAGTGCTGGATCAAGCAGTCAAGCTGCAATGCCTATACTGCATAACAACTAGTGGATCAAGCAGTCAAACCGCAATGTCTGCATTATATGTGCCGGATCAAGCCGCAATACCTGTGTAATAAGTACCAGATCAAGAAGTGAAGCTGCAATGCCTATATAACAAGTGGCGGATCAAGCAATCAAATCGAAATGTCTGCATAATAAGTGCTGGATCAAGCAGTCAAGTGATCAAGCAGTCAAGCTGCAATGCCTGTATAATAAGTGCTGGATCACACGCAGTCAAGCTGCAATGCCTATATAATAAGTGCTGGATCAAGCAGTCCAGCTGCAATGCCTGTATAATAAGTGCTGGATCAAGCAGTCAAGCTGCAATGCCTATATAATAAGTGCTGGATCACACGCAGTCAAGCTGCAATGCCTAAATAATAATAAGTGCTTGGCCAAGCAGTCAAGCTGCAATGCCTATATAATAAGTGCTGGATCAAGCAGTCAAGCTGCAATGCCTATACTGCATAACAACTAGTGGATCAAGCAGTCAAACCGCAATGTCTGCATTATATGTGCCGGATCAAGCCGCAATACCTGTGTAATAAGTACCAGATCAAGAAGTGAAGCTGCAATGCCTATATAACAAGTGGCGGATCAAGCAATCAAATCGCAATGTCTGCATAATAAGTGCTGGATCAAGCAGTCAAGCCGCAGTAGCATTACAGTAACTACTAAACTGAGATGTTTGGTCACAAAGGCTGTGCAACGAGCGCTGGACACAGCAATCAATACGCTTTTGTTATGCGCATTGAAGCATTGAGCATTTGCACTACACTGAGCATTTGAAGTAACCACACAATAGTTTCACTGGATCCCTTGAAAAAAGCCGGTAATGCTGACTATGTATATACACATATATACACCTTGAGGAGGTAACTAGTCCTCAGGAGGTAACTATGCTCAGATTTATCAACACAAATGAGGTTTAGACACTTTGTTATCACTTGATTTATACATAGTTGTTTTTGTTATTTTTTCATTGGGATGTTATTCACTTATATGTATATACATATATATACACCTTGAGGAGGTAACTAGTCCCCCAGTTCGGTGGATATATATATATATACCTTCAGAACAAGGCAATATATTAATTTATATTTTACACCTACTTTCTTACGGAATCCACCTTTAGCGCTGTGTTATCCCTTGCACATCATATTTTACCAATTCATAGCAGCTTTAGGATTAGTATTCTAACTTTTTAGGCTTATCTTTCCAAGAGCACAGATTCTTTTATATAAATGCTGACAAAACCCCCTGAAAAAGCCAGTAGAATATTAAAATGAACATCTGTGGACTTGTAAGCTATATTGCTAAAGTAGTTACCCATTTATACGATATGAAGTGTCCCATATAATGAAATAGCGCATTTATAAATATGAGGAAAGGTCCGGAAGGCTTTTGGAAAACGTGGGTATGTTTTTAGTATGCTTCAATATGTGAAAAAAAAAAATTTTTTGTAAAGTTTGAAAAATCTGTCTGGTAATGAATAGACAACATGTACTTACTGTTTTGTTTCAAGGGAAACTCTTACTTCCATGGTGATTAAATTGTTACAACACACCTCCACACATTTACAGCAAACATCACTGCGGTTTTTTATGAAGTGGTGAAGGATACAACGTTTTATTCATTGAGACTACAGCCACTGCTAAATGCTTGGCTGTCATGCTGACCTATTTGCTTCAATACTTTGAGAATCTGACTCAGAACAAATTTACAGATCAGGAATTCTGTCTTCACCCTGACTTTCTTTTTTGCTTCCTTATTCCTGGTCAATGTCAGACATCGGCAAGCAGCTAGCATTAGTCAAAGATATCGTCCCGCTTTTCAGTACAGATTTCCTTTACGCACAAAATGACAGAAGACAGCAGACAAATATCCTGATAATTAGGGATTGCATTTTAAATCTGTGCTTGTGGGTATTCCTAAAGTAACTAAATAAAAAATAAATAAATCAAAAGCTGCTGTACTATAGACAATCAATTCACTTTTATGATGTAAAGTAATTGCTTTTGGATGGTTTGATTATACATTCATGCACAGAGATTTTCGCACATTTTGCAAGTTTTTGTACTATTTGCACATTTCTGTCATATAGTGGCAATAAGTTATTTATGTATTCACTACACAAAGGGCTGACATTGCTTAAGCAGATCACTCTTAGAAATATCCTGGTAAGTGTGGCCTCACATCAATGAGTATAATTACTTCTGTATTAAAAATGGGAATTCTGCTTTCCTGTGCAATTCATCCGGCTATTGACAACAGCCAAGTTAAATAAAAACATTAAAAATGAAACACATTAGCTTCCTAAAGTTGGCCATACACCAGTTGAATTTTGGTTAAAAAAAATTGTTTCATTGCCTGATAAGGTTAAATCGACGATTGAAATCGTCGAAAAAAAAATCAAAAGGAGCAGGATGAAACATTTTTCTGGATAAAAATCTAACAATGAATGTGTTTTTTTTTTGTTCGAGAAACTCCATTCATTTCAAAATTGAATGTTAAACATAAACTCCTATTTAAAAAAAAATAACAAAAATGAAAAAAAAAATAATCGTAAAAGATTGCTTGCTGCACAAGTCATTTTGTGGTTCAATGTTATAAAAAAAATCACCTCTGCACCTCTACAACAACACCTACTGTAATTTTCTAAAACTGTCAAGAAAACTCAATGCAATAGAGCAACCTGGAGTTGATGTCCAGAACGCCCCCAGTAATGTAATTTCCTACTTATGTGATTGGCTGACATCTGTAAGATACAAGTAACATTTTTGCCATTCCTTGCAATAAGATATTCCTTAAGGGTTAATTATGTCTAAAGGGATGCCTTTCCTCATTACAACACAGAAAGTCCACCAAATATTTGCTTATAATGAACCCTCTCATTCAGGGGTCAATTTGTAAAGGAAATGCTGGAACAAACTGCTTTTTCTTCAGAGCAAAAACAAGTAGGAATCTTAAAACCCTTGCAGTGTACATCGATTACCCAGACAGGACTGATTTTTTTTCCCCCAACAAAAGTGGAGTTACTCTTTAAAATCAAACATGTTAAGTCTCTAATGGCATTTTCTGACAAGATTTTTCATATAAAAATGTGTTCAAAAATCTAACACTGTATACCCAACTTCATGGTGATCACTGTCACGTTGCAATGACATCACATCACTGTTTTGTCCAAGGCTGGCTATGTAGTAAAAATCACCATGACTACAGACAGTACTAAATATCTTTATCATAAAATCACCTATAACTTTTACAGAACAAATGAACACATGATCCATGTGACGGTTTTCTGGGTGTATGTTTCCGGATGTGCACCAAGTGTAAAGCTGTCCTACAGTAATGGTCAGGAGACAATACATTAACTGATCACGTGACCACTGAGAAAGTTCAAGGTAACTAAGCACTCTTTTTTTAACTATATCCAGTCCTACTCTCCTTCATCTGTGAATTTTTTAAAATCTTTTTCATGTTTTACTCATCATATCTAATATAGACATTGCTTGATTCAGGTAATTTTGCCCAAATTGTTTAGCGATCCAACATCTGTGTGGTACCTATAGAAACTGCGGGCAGAGGTCCATCAGGGGAACAGCAATTGGGCAGGACAGAAATCCTTGTCAAATCACTGCGGTTTTCCCCAATTAAGCTGCTGTTGGAGGTGCAACATTCCTTTCTGGCCTTTTTTCCTTAGGCCCAAATCTGAAACATTACCGTATGCACCCATTTGTGGTAAGGGAAGCACTGGCCTTGGAGAGGTGAAATGGTGCCTACTTGTCCAGCTGTGGACTAGGGATGCCAGAAAATATTCTCAAGCTATGGCACTACAAGTCTGTGAAGATTTTCATTAATCCAGGCCATGGCATAGCTAGCAGTAGCTGGTCCCATTGAACTGACCTTGCTCTGTAATGTTGAAGATGTTTCACCACTGATGTGAGTTCCACCCTTAATTCATACAGAAGAAGTCACTTGGCTAAGTGATGAAACATCTTCAACTGCATAGAACTAGCCCTTAGACATAAGATGACTGCCAACTAATGAGGCTGTTTTTGGACAGACTAGATGAAATCCTAATTTCTAGTGTAGCAGCAGACTTCTCCTAGCTGACCACATTTAGGGCACAAGATACATCAGACAAGCTTGAAAACATCTGATGACATTTCTGCTTAAATAAGTCAGGGCCTGGTGTATCTCCTCCCTCCTCTCCCCGCTCTATTCACATAAGTACCTCTACTAGGGCAAACAGAGAATATATGTTTATGTATCAGCCTATCTACAGACATAACTCCGACCAGTCACACCATATCCAACCTCATTCAATATAAAATAATTGTCTGGAACATTATAGTGACACTAAACGCAGGAGTTAAATCTTAAAAAGTACCTCAAGAACCTTAACTATTGAAAATGTATCTTATTTGTGTATCACTCGACTGTAAATCCAAAAATCCTCTCTGGATAGGTGCCGACTCCGTCCTTCCTTCTGGAGGTTGGCTACTTTTGTTCTCCATGATCCCTGTGTGTGTTGTAATGTAGCCACCGCTCCAAGCTCGCTCCTGTGATAGACTATATTTATTAGTAAACTAAACATGAGATTGTAGTCCATCACGGGAGCAAGCTTGGAGCGGTGGCTACTTTACAACACACACAGGGACCATGGGGAACAAAAGTAGCCCCCCTCCAGAAGGAAGGACAGTGTCCGCATGAATTCTGAGATGATTTGAGGATCTACAACTGAGTGATGCACAAATAAACGACATTTCTGTTAATAGTTAGGGAACTTGAATGCATTTTTAGGATTTAATTCCTGAGATTAGTGTCACTTTAAACCTGCTCTGGTCACGAAGGGAAGAGGCACAGGAAAAGGTTAAATAGGATAGAGTGATGGGCTGCAACATTGTACCTAAGCACACTGCAGCTAAAAATAGCTATGAGTCTTCTTCCGAGAAGGACGGGTCATAAAGGCATGAAACCCTCCAGGTCATTAATTCTCCAAAAACTATTTTAGTAATGGGTGAAGGTTAATAAATATCTAATTGAACACATAGACTAATAATACTAAGTCACCATGCTAAGATTTTCTGATACAGCACAGTGAAGTTCATTGACTGGATGTTCTGCTGAATCTGCAGCTTCTTGCACTGGCGAGGGAAACATTGACGTCAAGTCATTTTAAAGTGATTTGTACGGTTGGAATTTAGCGGCAGTTCACAGATGACCTCTTACCTTGCCATCCTCGTGGTACATGAAAATATTTCTTGTGCTGTTATCCCTTAAGTAAGTGATTTGCAGTCCATTTGGGTTCCCTATTTTGGCTGGCTGGAAAGTGGCATTTAAATGTTCAATCTTCATAATTGCTTTGGGCTCTCTTGCCTGGAAGCAAATTTAGATAAACAATTCATAGGGAAACAGTAACGCAGTAATCAAACTCTCATTTAAAGATGTGAAGACACAATACGACATGTTCTTGTAATAAGAGTACAAAATGCCTGGAAGCACCAGTAAATCATAAGAGGAATATTCTAATTCAGCGGTGTAAATGCCACAAAAGCAGTCCACATGGCCAATATCAGGTCCAGGGGCAATGTGTGCCCCAGTGCAGCATATCCCCCTAATCCCAGAGGTGCACACAGGGATTCCTGATGTGTACAGGCAAAGTGTAATAGCACAACTCCTGCACGTTTAAAGGCCTACTATAGTGAAAATTATTGTTTTGTGGTAATTGTATGGGATTAATACCTGTTATGATAGAATTTAATATATGACTTTTTTCATTTCACACGCCTTTATTTATAATTTTCTCCACGTTTCCATGTAAACCAAGCCGACCGACCAAAGAGACGATGATAAGGGCTGAGACAAACCATATAACCATTAAAAGTGCATTCAAATACTTTACCTATTGACAAAATACCCCCACAACAGACGTGTGATGTCACCTGACGCCGCGCACGTGTGGTGTCATGTGACGTCACGCGCCTGCCTCCAGGATAGCGATGCACATGCACAGAATCAACTGGTAGCCAACTCCAAAATAGCATATAAATTTGTTTTATTTGGCGAAACGAATGAAAACATTTTTAGTTTCATTTCCTCCTAAATTATTTTTTAGTATTTGCACATGTCTAATAATATGTGTGCAAGAGTGTGTGTGTGTGTGTGTGTGTGTGTGTGTGTGTGTGTGTGTGTGTGTGTGCGTGTGTGTGGTGTTTTTTTTTTTTTTTTTTTTTTTAATGTGCAACAAAAGGTACAACAATC